TTCTTTTTTAATTTGCTAGAAGGTGTGTGCATTTCCTGGAGAGAGGGAGAGGGAGAGAAAAAGAAAAAAGATTCCCCAGGGAATGTCTATTCTCTATTCTCTTAAGATTTTAGACATAAGCATGTACATGCCTGGCATGTTTTTTATGCTGCTGGGTCCAAGACCAGAATGCCCAGATGACTGGGTGGGATCCAGCTTCTTAACCACCAACCAGAGTGTCAGCTCTCTTATTTTCTATTTTATAAAACAAATACAAGGGGCCAACAGATGGAGTAGTAGTTACATCACTGGACTCCCATATGGCCAACTACAGTTCACGTTTCAGACCTGGTGGCTTCAAAGTCACAACAGGTGCATGGTGGGTGTGTGCCCAAGATCCCAGGAGGAGAAAGGTGGAGAGGGGATTGTGGCATGGCCATCCACTCCGGTGGATGATTTCTCACTTTTCCTACCACATGACAGAAAGCATTTTGAGAACCAGACTGGGCAGATTTCTCTCTCTCTCTCTCTCTCCCTCCCTCTCTTTATCTTTCTCTCTGATACAGGCCTGTCTCTCCTGTAGCAAATTAAAATAATGATGATGATGATAAATAAAATTAAATATAAAAAAAGGATTACAAAACACCTTCATACTAATTAAGAGTCAGATAAATGCCCAACTCTAAGTACTTTACATCTGCTTCATCCAGAAAAGCATACTGAGCTTAATATTTCAAATCCAGCCAGGGAATGTATCAAATCTGGTATTGCTAATAAATGTTTTTCAACACCTGCTACATAAAATCAAGATGCAACATTAAGAAAGGGGGGCAGCTTTCACCTAACTTTTTAATTAACATTCACTTCAAACAACAGATGGACTTCAAAGAGTACAGCCTGTAAACAACAGTGCTTGGCACTTGGCTCTGAATGTCCTCTCTCTGAATGAGGAGATCTGGAGTACGAAGTTGCATATAAACAGATTCATTAACATGACACGACAAAAAGATCTTTGCATCATTCTTTCTAGTAGAATCTCAATTATTAGAGCTTTATCCTTCATTTTACCTATTCTGCCCACCAGCCACCAGTGACCAGTCACCAGCCTATGGCTGAACCCCACATGATTGCTTACAAAAATGGGGAGTTCCTAGCACAGGGTGAAGCAAGCCGCCCCATCTGCTCTGCCCACGAGAGGCAGGAAAAGTGATTGCCATTCCTGGTCAAAAGGCACTAACTTACTGCAAGGTACTTTTGGGGGAAATTAATTCCCTGTTCATTCTTTCTTCGGAAATGTGGAAATAACTTAGTTCACATTCGGTTAACAATCATATTCTGATAAACTAGGCTGTTATTATCCACACTGATCAAATAAAGACCTGTGATGCCATTTAGTAAAACCCTGCAGAAAGCCACCATGGGCCTGCCTCACACCTACACCTAAGCTAGCAGGGGTGAGGCACAGAGGGGTGGGCTTAGTTACCCGGTTACCGTACCTTCTAGGTGGGCTCTGATGCCCTCCCCAGGCTTTCCCTGGCTGTGAGGGAGGGTTTTCAGCATTCAAATCACCTTATTAGAAATTCACATTGTATTTCTGATGCAGACGTGAAAACTACCCAGGCCTCTGAGGCTAGAGCCCAGGAATTGGCCTTTTAATAAGCCCCCAGGTGTGGCTGGGAGGTGGAGTGGTGGTTAAGGCACTTGATTCCCACATGACTGACTGTGGTTCAAGTCCCTAGAACTGGCAGCTTACTTCCTCACTCTCTCACTCTCTCTCTCTCTCTCTCTCTCTCTCTGGTTGAAGAATGAAAATTAATAAAAATTAAAAATAATTTTTTAAAAAGTCCCCAGGTGACCCTAATACTCATTATGAGAATGAACTCCCTGAGCTGATCCAGGGTTTCCCAAACCCCAAATTGGTTCATTACTACTAATTTGTAAGTCTCATAAAAACCAGGACCCAGGTGCCACCTTTCTTGCTCTATGACATTCAAGGCCCTGGACTGTCTATGTCCTCCCTGGCTTACCTGGGAATCCCACCCTGCCCCTTCACCTGGGCTTCAACCAACTCTGCACCAGGGAGGCACCAACTTCCTCTCGTCTCTTGATGTAACTAGAACATGACTCCTGCTGCCAGTTTATTTCTTAAAGGAGGGATCTCAGTACTATAAATTGTTCATTTTTCCTGTTTTTTTTTTTAGAGGTTTATGCCTTAGGGAACATGCATTCTCATGGGGGGAGGGGGAGAACAGGCACAAAGAGGGAAAGTGAGAAATCACCCTGCAGGGGGGATGACCATGGCACAATCCTTCTCCTTCCAGGATCTTGGGTACATATGCACATGCATCCGGCATGATTTTGAAGCCACCAAGTCTGGGATTCTAACCATAGTCGGCCCTATGGGAGTCCAGCGACATAACCACTATGCAATCTGCTGGTCCCTAAATTGTTCTTTCGCTATTTTTTTTTTAAACTATGCTTTTAAATCATAAGACTAAAAATCAAGTGCATTGGACCAAACACAATCCCTTTTCTCTCTTCACTGTAGTCCGTAAACTATAAAGCGAGGATTCCTAGACAGCACAGACATTGTGTATGCAAGTAAAGAACCAGAGCAAAATGAGCTGTGAAGTGACAGTGTACATATTTAACCCTCTCTTCTCCTGCACTCTGGGTAGTAAGCCTCCTGGTATTTTCATCAGTAAAATGTAGGAACTCCCTTATAAAACTGCGATGAGATTTAAACCAGAAAATGCACATAAAAATCCAGCACAGAGTGAGTGCTCAGTAAGGACTAGCTGTTATTATTGGACCAGGTCACTTCATGTACGTGTTCGGAGATGGAAAGTTCCTTTGAATTAATCTTTCAAAACCTGCTTCTCTCCAGCTGAGGAAGCCAAAGCCAGAAGAGTTAAGAGTCTTAGCCAATATTGTATAGCTACGGTCAGAGCCAAAACAGAAAACCAGTGTTTTCCACAGCAATTCAATATTCTTTTTACACTCTGAGATACTTTGTTCACATCCTTAACTGCAACGTAGGACCAGGAACACTAGAAGGTTCGGAACATGTCGGTCATCTCAAAGGTGTGGGTTCACGCTGAACTACACCAGATGTAGCACATGACACAATGAGAGGCTGTGGTTATCGAGACTGAATCTGTAAAAGTAGTTCAATGATTACACAGACAATTGCGTTCCTAATTTCTGTGGCTGTGGGCAGGGCATTTATGTCCCATCTTGGGTAGTCGCTTTTGTTCTTGTGTTCAATCACTTTCTTCTAGGAAGTACATATAATAGGCAGTATTGGGGGTTTTGTCTGGTGACCACTAGCTATGAACATAAGGGCATTGAAAAGATTTAAAATTCTATTCAACCAAAAGGGGTGGGGTCACAAGAAATCCTTGGACAAGCAACTCCACTCCTTTGGAATACAAAGCTGAAAGACTCACGCGTCAGACAGAAAGCAGTGGGTCATTAAAGCTGAAAGACTCACGCGTCAGACAGAAACCTGTGGGTCACTGTATTTTTTTTTTTAACTTTGAATTCCTTCAAATATATACGTGTGTTTATAGAAATATAGAAATATGTGAATATGTAGGTTGTGTGTTCTTTCTATCCCCTAGTAACAATTTATTCAACCTGATGTACTGATAAAAGTAGGAACAATAAGATGAAAAACCTGCTAGTGTTTGGTAAATATAAGCTTTTACTACAAATGATCTCTTCCAGTAAACAATGAGACAATGCTCAGGCTTTCTGCTTGGTATCACCTCAAATTTTTTATAGCCACATTGGCATTCTGTCCATGAAGCGCGAGTGTAGCGATGACTTCATTCCCGAGGATAAAGGATAATTGATCTTAACCTTCCTATCACTTTCCTTTAACTCAAAGCACTAATGCAATTGAAGGCACAGAGAAATAAAAATACTGTAGAAAAAGAACGACATTGTGAAATCTGACCTTCAAATACCTCCAAATACCACCAAGCACAACATGTTTCAGCATCCCAAGTCCTGAAACCTCTGCCCCACCGCTTGATAGAAAGCTGCCAAACAAATTTTTTTTGGAAGGGAAATTCAAACTTTGAAGGACTGAAGGTTTTTCCTTCCCAGTGATTAAAGGAAAAAAATATCTGATATTAAACAAAACACCAGCAATCAAAATGAAACACTATTGAAAGGCAGATCATTTACATGAAGTTTATGAATGTGATGCTTTTGTTAACACAGACCTAAAGCATTTTGCCACTTAAGCCCTTTTCTCCGGAGGATACCAATTAATGCCGATTCTCCGCAAGAAACATGGAAAACTATGTAATGGCATTCTTGAAATCTGCCTTTGAGAATCTCAAGTTGCCTCTTCACTAAGAAGGAAGCTATTCCCACCTCTTTCCCCCCCCCTTTTTTTTTTCTCTAAGTGCCGATGTTTACCATAGAAGCCCCTGAAAGCGAACAGCCCTGGATTTGGGGAAGGGGATTTTGCTGTCTTTTTTTAGAAATCAATGGTGCAATTAAGGCAAAAAGTTTACCACATTTCCCCAAATCAGAGTCTGTAGGAAGGAGAGAAGGTTATTGGTTGTCAGGTTAGATTTACTATTTCCTTTTCCAAACCAAGTAGCAACTTTATCTCTGCCGCGCCTTTTTTATGATGGCAACACCTTCAAGGCAAGCAAATCTAAGGAACATACACCCAACACTCACATCCACACAACCTGCACTGGCAACACACACACACACACACACACACACACACACACACACAGCGGGCGGAAGAGAGACCATATCCAGGAACCCAGAGCTCAGCACCTCGCATGGAAACTGTCACCCGGACAACCTGCACGCGATGCACACCCAGCTAACTTAAACTGACGGTACCAACGCATTTCCCCGGGAACTCGGCAGCAACCCATCAGCACACCCCGCAACAAACTCGCAACCCCACACCCTGTCACTATCTCCCAGGGACGTGGATGCGCGCCCCAGGCGGGCCCGCGGGGTCCCCGCCGCTGCCCGGCGCTCACCGTGCCTGCAGTCGCAGTAGCCCCAGTCCACCTTGCCCTGGGCGTTCCCATAGAAGCACCAGGGTCTGCCCGCGCCGTCCGGGCTCCGGCAGAAGTTGTGGCGCTGCCCACGCAGCTGAGCCCAGCCCGCCGGAGGCGACCGCTCCAAGAACGGTGGCACCTCTGCCCAGCGCAGGCACGGGGCGCCGAAGTCCGTCACGTTGACCCATAGCTCGCCGGCGGGGCACTCTCCGGGGTGCGGCTGGGGCGTGCGTCCAGCCTGCAGAGGGTGCAGGCGCTGGGCCGGGAGGGCCCGCGGGGGGCGCGGGGCGCGCGGGAGAGGAGGGTGGTGGCGGAGTCGTCCTCTGTTGCCGCTGCTGGATGGGAAGGGAGTAACGGGACTGGGGTCCCGAAGGGGGCGAGTGGCCGTGGCGGTGGTGAAGCGGATAGGTGAGGACCGAATCAGAGCTGACCACTTCGGGGAGCGCCCCTAAAATCAGAGCCACGGCGAAGCGGGCGAGCGTCATGGTGCCAATGCTGCGGGCTTTGGTCCATGCTCCCCAGCTCCTCGGGTTCTGAAGAGGAGGGACGAGGGGGCGGGGCGGGGCTGCAGCGTCCCTCGAATCCCCCAGCCCTCTCCCGCCCCCAGGGCGCGGACCGCCTTCCCGTCCCCACCTCGCGGCCCGCGGGGGCTGCCCCCCCGCCGCCCGACCCCCGCCCCC